TATATATATATATATATATATATATATATATATATATATATATATATATATATATATATTAGTAAGATTATTTATTCTAATGGTACTTGTATAAATGTTGTACAAGTAAAAAAGAAAAACAAGAATGGAATGTGTTCTGCATATTATATACTGCCTAAACTCACAAAAAAAAAACCATAAATTAATTTTTAATGCAAAATTACATATATATTCCAAGTCAATAATTTTTGTTTATATATATTTAAATTTAATTTTTACATATATATATATATATATATATATATATATTTCTATAAGACCTCGTAATAAATCTAAATGATAATTGAAAATGTAATTAATATCAATATGCTTCAAAAGATTTGTTACTATATAATTATTATGGTAAAAAATATTAAAAATATTTTAAGCATTGTATTTTTGAGAAAACAGAAACTAGTTATTGGTGACTTGGGATTTGGGTGGGGATAGACGTTTAAATATTAGGGAAGAACATATATGTCATAGTATATTTCCGTAAGGGTAAATAGGTCATTTTGTAAATCGCAAAGCTATAAAATTCTCTTTTTTAATTGATCCATTTTATTTTTCTTCTCTCTCTCTCTCTCCTCTCTCTCTCTCTCTCTCTCTCTCTTCTCGCTCTCTTTCTCTGTTAAAGCTGTCTCCTTTCCTTTATTTCCATTGGAACCAACAAAATCTCAGCTCAGATCAGGGATTTCAATGCAATAGCCGGGCTTTGGATCCCTTCTGTGACCGCACAACCTCGGCGGCTTCGTCTGTAATCGTAGAGTGTGGGTCTCAGCGCGCGTGGTCGTGTCCGCGAAGGAGTCAGAACCAAACAAGGCCTGTGGGGTTCGCCTCCGTCGTTCGCCTCCTCTTTCACTGCAAAGCTGCTTCATTTGGGATCTTGATCTCGTGAAATCTTAGTCCGGGGTTGGTTTTTTCTGGCGGTCGGCGGTAGGGGGGCCCCTCTCCGTCCATTTGATTCGATCCTTTCCGTTCGAGGTCTCGTTTCTATCTGTTTTGGTTGGGAATTAGATCGACAGGAGGCGCCTTTCTTTGTTTTCTTGTGTTGGGAGGTGTTTTTTCATTTCGTATAGCGGATTCGAGGTGGGATTTGGGAGAAGTTGGTGTGTTTGCTCCATTTTCTTCGTTAGATCTTAGGGTTTTCTCTTTTGGGTCTCTAATCTTAGGGTTTTTTTTTCCTTTTCTGGTTGTTAATTGTGGATAGTTTCTCTTCGTTTTTCTTTTCTCGGCCTCAGCTTCTATTTCGTAGGAACCCGATTTGAAGGTCTTCGATATCCCCATCTTGTGAGTGTTGGAATAAGGTTCCATTTGTAGGGGTTGTGATTTGTGGCACAAAGGTGTCTCTTTTACCTATTTTAAATCTGATTTCCTCCATTTCCTAATCCTTTTTGGGGAATACTATTTGGAGAGTGTGGAGATTTGGGAAATTTTCTCTCTCTTATGCAGCATGAGGAATCTCTTCCTCTCAGACTCGTTCAAAGAGACACAACTCCATGCCCTTAATCCCCAGTCATGGCTTCAGGTGGAGAGGGGCAAGCTCTCCAAATCCTCTTCATATTCCCCATCTTCCATGTAAGCTTATCGCTCTCTGTTTCTTCTATTTCTTTTTGATGTTTAGTTTAATTTTATTCACCTTTCTGTTCCCTTAAATAACAATGAGCTACCTGGTTGTATGTTTGATGCATAGTGAATCTCTTGTCAAGGTTGCCGAACCGCCGATTCTTGCCTTATTTAAGCCTGTAGATTATGTGGATGTCTTAGCTCAGATCCATGAAGAGCTCGAGTCATGCGCACCCAAGAAAAGGTCAAACCTGTACTTGCTTCAGTTTCTGGTATTTCGAGGGCTTGGGGAGGTTAAATTGCTCCAAAGGAGCCTTCATGCTGCTTGGAAGAATGCTATCACCGTTCACGAGAAGCTCGTGTATGGTTCATGGCTAAGGTACGAGAAACAAGGGGAAGAGGTTATTTCGGACCTCCTTGCTTCGTGCGGGAAGTGCTCACAAGAATTTGGGCTTCTGGATGTTGCTTCTCAGATTCCTATTGAGAATGTTGAGACGAACGGTGAATGCTATGATATTTCACAAGTTTCTAGTACTGTATTCTTCCGCATAAGGGATGAGATGATTTCCTGTGAGAGACAAAAGATTGCAGCATTGTCTACTCCGTTCAATACCATGCTCAATGGGTCCTTCACAGAGTCACATCTTGAAATCATTGACTTGTCTGAGAATGGCATCTCACCAGCTGGCATGAGAGCAGTCTCTAAGTTCAGTAGCTCAGGGCATTTAGAAGATTTATCAGTTGAAGTTTCGTTGGAGATCTTGGTTTTTGCAAATACATTCTGCTGTGAGAAGCTTAAAGATGCTTGTGATAGGAAATTGGCATCAGTAGTTTCTTCACGCCAAGATGCTGTAGAACTTATGGAGTGTGCCATGGAAGAAAATACCCCTGTACTTGCTGCTTCATGCTTGCAAGTTCTCTTACATGAACTTCCCGAGTGTTTGAACGATGAACAAGTTATTAAGATCTTCTTGAATGCCAACAGGCAACAGAGGGCAACCATGGTTGGACATGCTTCATTTTCATTGTACTGTTTGCTAAGTGAAGTCGCGATGAACATTGATCCAAGGTCGGATGTCACAGCAGGTTTTCTAGAGAAGCTGGTGGAGTCGGCCTTCAGTACTAGGCAGAAGCAAGTCGCCTTTCACCAGCTTGGATGTGTCAGGCTGCTGAGAAAGGAGTACAGTGAAGCAGAACAGCATTTTAATGCTGCTTTTGCTGCTGGACACGTCTATTCCGCAGCTGGATTGGCTAGATTGGCTTGCATCAAGGGGGACAAGCTTTCTTCCTATGAGAAGCTTAGCTCCGTGATATCGTCCTATCAGCCACTCGGGTGGATGTATCAGGAGAGATCTTTGTATTCTGAAGGTGATAGGAAGTGGGAAGACCTTGATAAGGCAACAGAGTTTGACCCTACTCTTACTTACCCCTACATGTATCGAGCAGCATCTTTGATGAGAAAACAAGATGCCAAGCTTGCATTGGCAGAAATTAACCGAGTTCTGGGTTTCAAGCTGTCTTTAGAATGTCTAGAACTGCGATTTATTTTCTATCTGGCGCTGGAGGATTATAAAGCTGCACTTTGTGATGTCCAAGCAATTCTTACACTGTCCCCTGAGTACCGAATGTTTGAAGGACGTGTATTTGCTTCCCAATTGCGGACACTAGTTAGAGAACATGTGGACCAATGGACGACTGCTGATTGTTGGCTTCAACTGTATGATCGGTGGTCATCAGTTGATGATATAGGCTCCCTTTCAGTTATTTATCAGATGCTCGAGTCTGATGCTGCAAAAGGGGTGTTGTACTTTAGGCAGTCTTTGCTTCTCCTAAGGTAGATTCTACTATCTTGTTCTTGTTATTTTTCTACTTGAGTCTTTGGTTCTTTATTATGATTATTTCTTTCAAAGCATGGAATTTTTTAAAATATAATCAACTTGTGGTTTTGGTTGATCAGGTTGAACTGCCCTGAGGCTGCAATGCGTAGCCTACAGCTAGCACGCCAATATACTGCAACTGAGCATGAACGTTTGGTTTACGAGGGTTGGATATTATATGATACTGGTCATTGTGAAGAAGGACTTCGTAAAGCTGAGGAGTCTATCTCTATTCAGAGGTCATTTGAGGCTTTCTTTTTGAAAGCGTATGCTTTGGCAGATTCAAGTCTCGATCCTTCATGTTCTGCCACTGTTGTTTCACTTCTTGAAGATGCACTAAAGTGCCCATCAGATAGGCTCCGAAAGGGGCAGGTAGCATTATCTTGCCTTTTGCATTATCCAACATTTAATTCATTGTTTATTCTTTGAATTTTCCTTTTACTTCGTTGACTAAATAATTTTAGTTTGAGACTTTTAACCTTTTATTCTGTCAGGGCACAGTTAGATTATACATTATTATTCTTGTGGAATGTTTGGAAGATAATTAAAATTTACTGCAAAGAGTCATCTTTGACGTTTTTAACAAGAGAGCTAGCCTTGTGTTGGGTTCACCCATTGAGCTTTTGATAAAGATTATTGTATGGTAGGCCAAAGCCTCTCGATGAGGTCCATCTAGTTCAGAGAACGAACACTGTCTTCAGCTAAAAAGATTTACTGTACGCTTGCTTTCAGAACACTTGATGGTTTTCCTTGAATAGATCTTTGTTTATACCATCTAAGATGACATAACTCCATCCATCGCCAAAGCCTAACTATATAAATTGCTCAAACCAGATCCTCTAAGTTGCACTTTGCTATATCGTTTTTATTTTTCTTTTATTAATTATCTACCTTAACTGGTAAGTTGGTAACAAGGTTCACATCATGGATGCAGCCTCTCTACTTGCAAGGGTAAGGCTGCATATATAATCTTTCCCATACTTTACATTGGCAAGGGACTTGAGCACTGGGGCTTGCCCTTTTTCTATCCAGCAGTTGTCTCCTAAACATATTCATTTAAAAGGCAACAATTCATTTATCTAACTCTTAAAATATGTTATGCGTCTTACAAGTGTGATTCTACCATTAAATGTTATTCGGATTCTGTTTCCATGTTGAGGTGCAAAACCTGGCTGATGTGATTCACAAAAATTGTAGGATTAATCTAGGAGGACAAATAATTGTGTGGAGTCTTCCAGCTTATATATTCATTACGTTTTTTTGGTAAAATTTATGAATGTGCGTGCTAGGTGGATAAGCTACTAATGGTTGGGGCTGGGGTGCCATTAAATGGGGTTGGATCAGGGCCAGATGCATTCCACCCTTAATCACTGGCACTGAGGTGCCATCAAAGGGGTTGGGGCAGGGCCAGGGACCTTTGACTCCAGATTGATATCCTTTCAGGGTAGCATTTAGGTGTTGAGACTGGGACCTCTACTCTTTATGGTACAATTACTTAAACGAGCTAGACAATAAGTGGATATAGAATAAATTAGTTGGTAAATAGTTTGTTCATGTATATATTTTTTCAATACTTTGGAAAAGTATTAAGGAGAGAAGGAGAGAGTATGGCAGGAAACAAGGAAGCAAGAATATTGTTTTTTCATTGGGTGGTGGACGGGGAATAGAAGGAAACAAGTTATGTGCACCATTAAAGTCCCAGAAGATGGTATTCTAAATGCAATCATATTAATAACAAATAGATTCTAAAAAGGTCTATAATATACATGTGATAGGCATGGAAAAATCTATTTGATGATTTGTAAAATATGTGGTCTATATTGGGTTGGGTTCTGTGTAAATTTACCAAGACTTCTGAACCTAGGCCTGAGAATTCTAAATGGGTCCCATCTTGCACTCATGCCCAACCAAATGGGAGGTTGGTCCCCATCAAGGCCCTTTCAGGTCTCAGCTCCAGGTGTTGGCCTTAAATAAGATCAAGTGTCAAGTGCAGTTATTAGTTCTGATGATGTAACCTTATGCATACACAAGAGGGTGCTATATTTTGTTTAATGGTAATATTCGTTGGTTTAGACGAACTCAGCAGTTTTTGGGGCAGTTCTATGTGGTTGTTTCTCTGAAAAATAAATATGAATTGACTATTAAATCTTTAGATCAGGTTGCAACATGATCAAACCAATCATTGAATAATCTGATAGCAGGACCATTTAGTAACAGTGCATCAGCTTGGTTTGGTTTGGAGACAAATGAATGTTTTTTGAATTTTGAAGTAGCTGGTTACTGGTATATCTTAGTTGGTGGCCGACCTCAAACAGCTGGGACATGATAGTTTCATTATTGTCGTGTATATCTAGATTTTCTTTTATTGTTTTGTCCTTAATAGATAGTTTAAAATTTCACTGGTTTGAGATTGCTCCGTGAACAAATGGATGATAGTACCTTCATTTTTTCTGCATGATTGGTGAACCCGGATAAAGAAAGCTTTTATTGTGACAAACATTGATTCATAGAATTAGTAATACAGACTTCACTTCCGAACCCCTAGGCAGGTTGACCTGGCACTGATGACTTCTGTTGTAAATCATCCAAGCATCTTGTAATATAGAAAGTAGGATAATCCTAAAAACCAACTTATCACACAAAAAATAGCAATTAGGATTTGACAGAAAGGCTATGACAAAAAACATGTATGATATATAGACAGATTTCTGCTCACTGCAGTATTGCAGACACCACTGTCAACTGTCACTTGTCCATTTATTTGTAGACAAATAATTATAAGTGGATTCATAAAATCTCCGATAAATCCAAAATCTTTTATTAAGGCCAAGAGTAGTCTGCTGAGATGTTGTTTTGTGGACAACTACAAAGCAACTTAATACGCTCTTCTGACAGAAAAAAATGTATGAGGAAATTGCCTTTCAGTCATTGGAAAGGTCTTGTTTCATTAATAGACCCCCAAAAATCCAAAACTTCCACTCTTGAATCTTATTTGAAATTTGATATAAATATCATGTCAATGAGCAGTTCTATAGGGACTTCTTTTATAATTGTATATTTAATTATTTTGTTAAATCAGATAACGTTACCTGGGTGGAAGAAAAACATGGCAAGTTAAACTTGGAATATTATGAGTGTGTCAAAGCGGATATGAGTGCATGTGATGTAGGTTTTGGGAATGAATTCAGAAACTTGGGTGCCAGGAAATAGACATGTTTTGCTGGAAGATCTTGAAGTTAAATCATAGCAAGGGGTGGGATCTTGAAGTTAAATATGCAATAATAGACATTTGTATACCTGCAGATTTGCATTGCATGTTGATCAACTTTTAGTTACCTAAGCGGATACCTGGATGTTAAATAATGTTCTATCTATTCAATCTTCAGATGGTACAGAATCTATAGATATTAGTTGGTTATAAGCCCATGTGGCCAAGTTAGAAGCTTAGTTGTCTGATAGTCTTTTTTGACTAAATAACAATTAAACTTTTAACCTTAACTTCTTATTTGTTTGGTTTGCTGATACTATGAAAAGTCCAAATAACTTGTAAAAATTAATAGAAACATATCAGTGGACATATAGCAAGTTGTACATATTACCTCAAGAAAGAAGCACTACATTCAGTTAATATATCTCCACAAAGGTACACATGCGGTCAATATATTTCCACAAAGAATACCTTGAAAATTGTAAAGCAGATTGAAAAAATAAGTTCATCAGTGGACTAAAGTGTCAAGTTGGTAAAAGCCACAGAAGATAAGCACTTCGTCTCGGGCTTACTTTGGTCACTTTAATGAGATGGCTTGGCACAGTTGAAAATGCAGGTGAGCTGCCAGTCATAAGTAGGTTGTGAGACATCTTGATAAGTAGCTAAGCTACATATTCTAAGTTGGTATCAGCTATTCTTCGTATGATTTCTGGCTGCATCTATTGACATTTAATATGGTGGATACCCGTAGCTAGCAATGTAAGCCAGCTTTGAGATATATGTGGCCTTATTGAAGCCTCCTTTTCCCAGTAGCTCATATGACCATTCATCTATATCTGTAGAACTTTTGGTATATAACTAATTTTAAAAGTCGTAAGAATAGATTTGTAACGGAGTATATAAAAATATCATTTTTTTCACATACAATATGACACAACAATTATATAGGTTACATGTTCATCCTTGATGTTATGTCATTAGTTTCTTTGGTATTTTCATGATTGGTTGTGTGATTTTGTCACTATATATTGCTATCAAACTCCTTCAATACCTGAAACTGGAGGTCATGGTAAATGGAGAAATATGGGATATCATCTGAGCCAGAAAAAATGAAACAGGAATGCAGGACCTTCATGACCAGCAAGGTCACTAAATTTACAGTGAAAGCATTATATTATAGATTTCTGCTTTCAAATAATTCTAAAGAACTGTACATCTGGTTGCTGATGTGTGCTATTTTCCTTATGTCCTTGATTAGCCACAAATAAGCCCTATAGCTAGAGGACTTGTTTTTTTACTGAAAGATTTAGTTAAACGGAATAGTCAACACTGATTACTTGACATCCATCATAGGTTTTTATTATTTTCTGATTTCATCCTTCAGGTGGTAATGTATATATTTCTCATATGCTGGTATATTGGTCAAGCTTTTACAAACTGATTTTGCTATCTGAACCAAAATCTTATCATACTTTTAAGTGTTGACTGGTTTGGTATGATTTCCCTTGGTAGACCAAGAAAAGTAATAGAAAATTGTATAATAAGTCACTTCTGTCTAGTGCTGTTAGTAGAATGGTGGTGAGGTATGATCACAGTATACCATGCTATGTGAAACCATGTTTTTGATGCATTTACCTTTTTGATGTTAGATTGTGGTATGATTCTGTACAAATCCATGGTTTCTAGAAATTGAGGTCCTCCAAGTTGCATAATTTGAGTATCTAGTTGCTACTAGCTTCTAACAAGCTCTTGAAGCAACTAACTGACAATTCTCTATATTTCTTTTCTGGTATCCAGATGGACCAATACTTGCAAATACCACAAAGAGAGATAACAAAACTGAAAAAATTAAATGTTCAAATCCTGGTTGTTTATGTATAATCTACTTGCATTTCTAAAGGTTGCATTTTTATTATTTTTCCAAAACTGAATAAATTAAATGTTCAAATGCTGGTTTTTTTATGTATAATCTAATTGCCCTTCTAAGGTTGCATTTTTATTGTTTTTCTCACAGGCACTGAACAACCTTGGAAGTGTATACGTTGACTGTGGGAAGTTAGATCTGGCAGCTGATTGTTACATCAGTGCCCTAAAAATCCAACACACCCGGGCCCATCAGGGCCTTGCTCGAGTCCATTTTCTTAAGAATGACAGAAAGGCTGCATATGAGGAAATGACTAAGTTAATAGAGAAGGCTAGGAACAATGCATCAGCATATGAAAAGAGGTCCGAGTACTGCGAGCGGGAACATACCAAGGAAGATTTGCAGATGGTGACAAAGTTGGACCCCTTGCGGGTTTATCCATATAGATATCGTGCAGCAGGTCAGATTCATTCACTTTCTTTCCCAGTAGATTTTGCTTTTATAAGATGTTTGTAAAAAGGATCCTTACCGACGTTTTTTAAAATTTAAACAAACAAAGAGAAACATAACAGTTTTCAACAAAATGGTTCAGAAAGTATGATGCTCTTCTTGCATCTCTGGAATCATTTGGGTCTATATGTCATAATATTTTCATTCTTAACTGCCAAAATTGAAACACATCATAGAAGAGGAACACATTCCAAATGATACTGAGCTAAAATAGTCCTTTACAGTATCTTGCCAAGGATGCACAGGTTATGTTACTTGGGGGAAGAACTCAAAGCCTAATACCAACATTTTCCCTAATTTGTGAGGCCTTGAAAATTGTGTTCACTAGGGTAGTCTGACCAAAACCACAGATGATGCAACCCAGAGTCTAGATCTTTCCAAACTTACTTTGTCTAATGTAAGTGGACAAATTCTTTTACATATTACTGTAAAATATATTTTATTGTATCTACTAATGATTTCTGTTATGAATTATTAAAAAAGGGTTGTTGGCAGCAGCATTTTAGTGGCCATGCCAACCTTAAGGGATCACTGCAAGCTGCAGCCCTTGGTGGCATTGCTAGCTGATGCCGGCTCAGACACTATAGTAAAGATCTTTCAAAGCCAGAACCTAAATTCCCTTCCTTCTCAGACATTTTACCTAAAAGCAATCTTACTTGAAACTTCAAAAGCTGTAAGATGCAGGAAAGAGAACATTTGTTTCCTTGTTTGTGTTATTATATTTGTTGTCTACAGATTCAACATAATGGGGAAGACCTAAGAACGGTTTTCATGTTTTTCATTCATTCTATTTATTCGACTAAATTCTCCATTTGTGAAAGCCATGCTCTATCAAAATCAGGTTGGCTATCTTGAAAGCCTTCAGCCCATCTAAATCGATTCCTATCACAGCCTTTCGTCATTCCTGTTGTTTGCTTCGGAGAGCTCTGCTCATTAAATCTTCAGTGTTATATTAACAGTTCAGCTAGGTGGTCCTGTGGGTTTTGTTTCATGTCTGTAGCAGTGCCAACTCATTCTGCTAACGTGGAAGACTAAATTCTTTTCTCTGAATTGTTTTCCAGTGTTGATGGATAACCACAAAGAAAAAGAAGCAATAGCAGAGTTGACAAGGGCTATTGCTTTCAAGGCTGACCTTCACCTCCTACACCTCCGTGCGGCATTTCACGAACATATCGGGGACATATCCAGTGCACTTCGAGACTGCCGTGCTGCCCTCTCTTTAGACCCCAACCACCAGGAGATGCTCGAGCTCCACAAGCGCGTCAACAGCCAAGAACCATGACCCGACGCCGCAACATACTTACTGTATACTACACCAGATCCATGCTGCTGCACCTGATTCCAGCCAGGGTTGATCTGTAATCTTCCCTCATTTATTTTCCCTTCTAGTTCTGTATAATCCGTGTTGTTTAGATTAAGTTATTGTGTGTTGCTTGTCTACAAATTTTGGTGTGTCCAACGAGATGGTGAAAGCTGAGAGGCAAACTTTAGTAGATGGGTCTACTTGATTATCAAATCAATTGTACTTTGATGGTGTAAATCGTATCTATTCAGTTCAGGCAGACTGAACATGATTTTACCAACACAGAATTCTCAGTGATGTGCCTCAAACGATATAGAAAAAAAATGAAATCATATGAGAGGAAGTGTTTCATGAAGGGTGTTAATTTCCTCTAAGCAATTGAGAACCCCCAAGTGTCAGTGTTCTTCTTCCATCGAAAAGGGGCTAAAACATTATTTATGATATCTTTAATTACATTCAAAATATTTTGAGAGCCACATGTCTTTCTTATTATATGTTTTAATAGTAATTTCACAAATCCATTTTAATATTCTCATTTTAGTTACATTAATTTGTTTTCACATATGTTATTTTTTAATCATTTAACATTATGATCCATGAAGAACCTTTTTTAAGGTTTGCATGATATAAAATTATTTCTACTCAAAGGATTTCATTAATCTCTTCTTTCTATCCAATGATATATTCAAGATATTAATGCTTTTAATTACAAGGATTTTTTATTCGATCATTTTAATTTGCACACTTTGTTATTTTCTATTTCTTGATATATATATATATATATATATATATATATATATATATATATATATATATATATTCAGTTACCATTATAATCAAAACTCAAGCTTACAATTAATTTCAACTAAATATTTATTGAATATATTGGCATGTGATACGATTAGTGGGGACAATCCAAATAAATTGAGTCAATTCTTAATAATTTAAACTTGTCAATGTTTACTATATTAATATGTCTGGCGTAATATAATTAAATATTAAAAATCGACAGGACTCGAAATTGATAATCCATATCGGTTGAAGAGTGTGGAAAGAAGTCGAGTCTGACATTAATATAATATTATTCAATATAATCTTTTAATATTTTTTTTGTGGCCTCTTTTACTATTAAGACAAAGATACTAAATTAAATTGAAGTTTCCAATATCTATCTCACTCTCTTGTCTTATCAGCATAAAGAGCAGCAATTTGCTGGTGGAAGCCGCCGTGGCAGAGAACCCTAGGCTGGCTGCATGGAGCCCGAAGAAGCAGCAGTAGAGGAGCAGCATCACAGTCCATATGCTTTGAAACGACGGCCCGTCGTTCGAGCCGAGCAGGAAGATGGTGATAGAAATGGGCGCTGACGGCAGCCATGGCAGACGTGGGGCGTGCCGCACGCAACCAGCATGAAGATGGACAGGCGACAGGAGAGAATGCCGAAGCAGGTGAAGAAGGCGATGACGACGCTGGGCGCCACGAGCATGACCACGGTGGCGTCGACGGGGGTTGCCGAGACATGGAGGACCCATGTGGGTGAGGTAGCGGGCCTGTCCGACGGCCGTCACGAGCAGCACCGCCAGTAAATGATTATCCTTCTTGCACAGCCAGTAAGATCAGATGTGCTTAATTAATGAACATCTGAAAAGCATTCATATATCACAAGAAAAATCATGTGAGATTTGTTGCAGAGAAGTCTTTAAACTCTAAACATCAAATCAAGCTGTGATAAGTGAGACGGGAACTGTTCAACATTACGTGTGTCCTCGGCATGCAGCAACCACGACCTTCCATGCATCAACAAATGATACCTTGATAGCATCTTCTTCCAAAACCTTTGCATAAATCTATCATGGGTTTTTGGTCACCGAGTGATGTCAAATGTTCTGATCCACAGATGACGAGCATTTTTCTACTCTCTTGAAGGTTCATTCAGATTGTATATGACATCAAAACAAGTTGACATGTTTCGTCTATGAGAGAGAAACACGAAGCCCTTCTTTAGTCACATATCTATTGCTCTCAAGAAGTGGAGGCAGCAGGTGAAGTTGTTCTTCCTTCGTAGGGTGAAAACATTGGAAAGCACAAAAAAAGGCTCAGTAAGCATGGTGATATGAAACACCAGGAGAAAGAGAGAGAGAGAGAGAGAGAGAGAGAGAGAGAGATAGAGAGAGAGAGAGAGAGAGAGAGAGAGAGAGAGAGAGA